GATGTTAGGCAATTTTGCCATTACTCTGACTCAACCTCACTCACGATGACTGGACCAACCCTTTCCTGCCACTTTATTAAATGCTTTTTATTCATCTTATAATTTCATTGTAGAAATTATTAACCTGATCAAAAGATGCTTCTGCTCAAACATCCACCCTTTTGGATATTTGAGGTTTATCTGCAAAGTAACAGACTTTTGATCAAACACTATAGAAATTGGTGGTCAGGAATCAGGGCATTGTCCTTCTTACTGAGTGAACAGCAGACAGAGAGAAGATGAAAAGGGTCAGGGTATCCGACACTCTGTAACATGAGCCAGCTGAAACAAGATTGTTTGATGTTTGCAATCCTCCCAATAATGAAGCTTTTGTTCACCCTCCCAAAAACACTTCTTCACTACTGAGCACTCATTTGCAAATGTTGTTTTTGTTATTGCAGCTTTTGTTCATGCAGACAAACAATTTGTAATCATGTTTCAATCTTCTTACTTGTCCCGACAAATAGTCAGATATGTACTTATCACTGTCTGGTTTTGTGGATCGATTGGAAGTAATGGTGCCACGAATCAAATGTTCTTGAATAATTTATTATAAGTGTGATAAGGCTCAATAGACCTGGAAAAATCCCAAATTTATATCTAAAAAACATGACTTCTTTCAGGTTTTTCCTCTTCAGGGGTCACCACAGTGAGTCATCCTCCTCCATCTCACTCTGTCCTCTGCATCCTCTGTCCTCATTCCAACTACCTCTATGTCCTCTCTAACTGCATCCATATATTTCCTCTTTGTCTTTTTCCTGGCAGCTGCATCTCTAACATCCTTCTACCAATATACCCACTGTCCCTCTAAACATGACATGCAGTTGTAAATGCCAACTATTTGTGAAAGTATTTAGAAAATGACAGCCCATCTTGTTTAGGAGGGTTTACAAGAGAATCTTTCCATCCATCCATCCATCTTCCTTTTTGGGTTGTGGGAGTCACTGGTGCCCATATCCAGTCATCACTGTGCAAGAGGCAGGGGACACCCTGGACAGATCGCAAGTTCATCACAGGGACACATGTGGCAGCGGTGGCTGAGTGGTTAGAGCAGTCGTTCTCCAATGGGAGAGTTGGAGGTTCAATTCCACCAGCAGTCACATGCTGAAGTGTCCCTAGGCAAGACACTGAACCCCTCATTGCCTCCGATCTGTATGACTGTGATCCAAAGCACTGATTAGTCTTTGTAAAGATCTAGTAGAGTGCTATGGGTAAATGAGGACACAGATTGTGTTGTAAAGCACTTTGAGTATTTTGACGATAGAAAGGAGCTATGTAAGTACAGTCCATTTACATAGAGACAAACAACCATTCACTCTCTCACTCACACCTAGGAACAATTTAGAGTTACCAGTCAGACTAACATGCATGTTTTTGGTCTGTGGGAGGAAACTGGAGTACCTGGAGAAAACCCACACATGCAGTAATAGAACATACAAACTCCACCCAGAAAGGCCCCCCCGGTCGGGATTTAATCCGACGACCTTCTCGCGGAGAGGCAACTGCTCTACCAATGGATCCACCGTGTCACCCCCAAAGAGTCTTTCCAAAACAACACTGAAGCATGACTTTGGTTCAAAGAGTAGTATTTGCACAAAGCACAAGTTTATTGAACCAATGTTCATAAACCAAACACAGCGTCTCTGTGCAAGCACCTCATACCACGTGTCCATGACAGTGATAGAGAGAAAACTCCTCTATGACGTTAAATGTAAAGCCATCTGGTAGATGAAGCTAAACTGCATTAAAGACACAATTATTTCAAGCCCACTAACAAATCTACAGTTCAAAAAACAATAAGAAAAAAAAAACAATTTTGAAATAGTCTAGTCAAAGTTCAGATCTATTCCCGATTCCAGATTAAAACATTGTGACACGACTTAGAGTTGTGCAAAAACAAGCTTCAATAAACTGAAGCAACATTGTAAAACGTGGGCAAGAGTTTTCCCAACAATGACGTGAGAAACTGATAGGGCCATACCTAAAACAATTAATTTATATTGCTGCTATAGGTTTAAATATTATCAAGGTATACAGTCAAGGGTGTACTTTGATAATCACACACAAATATTGCATTTGGATGTGCTTTTGTGATAAAAAAAAAAAAAGCTACACTGTAAGATGTCAGATCAGATGTTTTTTCTGTTGTACTCAGCTCATTTTAAGACATGAAGCATGACCTAAATATGAATATGACATTAAAAGCTGAAAGTATTTTTTAATGTCTTAACATTAAATGCTAAATTTCTGAACGTCAATTTAATGTTAATTTTCCTTGTTCTGAAAACTATTACCCTCCACCCCTACCTCACAAATATTTAAAACTGGATCATTTTCCTCAATAAAAAAATGACCAAGTATACTATTTTTGTGTCATTGTTTAACTAGGTTCTCTTTATTTGTTTTTAGGACTTGTGTGAAAATCTGATGACGTTTTAGGTCATATTTATGAAGAAATATGGAAAACTTTAAAGTGTTCACAAACATTCAAACACCACTGTTTGTATATACTTCCTTAGATACAGAACTTTACTAATTGGCTTTTTTATGTATGTTGTGAATGTTCCTGTAAAGCACCCTGAGACAACTTTGTTGTGATTTGGTGCTATATAAATAAACTGAATT